CCAAAAAATATCGTATTGTTTGTGCAACATACAAAACGAGATTGCGGTCAAATGAATCGTAAATTTTTAATACGTATCAAACTTGTATGCGTTGTCGATCCCGAGTACGATATTATAACGATTACTTGTGACGGCTTAAGCGCATTTATAACTTCTTTTTTTTTTTTTTTTCGTAAACTAATTACATTTTAAGACTATTACGGATCAATAATGGTATTTTCATATTATACGCACGCCACCGTGGCGTCGAAATTCTCTGTAAATATAATAATTATAGGGGTTGACTCAACAAAAATCCTGCATAATAGTGCCGACAAAGATCTCGTCGGCTTGACAAAGATTAATTTATTATTTTCGAGAGTTACATCAAAATGACCGAATATCTTTCGCACGCATATATATTGCGTAACAATATTATTATCATTAATTATAAAATTATTGTTCCGCGGCTTTGTATCGAACAAATTTAATTATTAGCCGAATAACATTATTCTGTATTCAACAAATTAACATTAATTGTACGCGCGTATTACGCTATACAAATTTAAATTAAATAAAAGTTTGTCCGAAGACAAATCGCCTAAGCGAAAAAAATAATGATTTCCCATATAATTATTGATAACCAAAATAGTAAAAACAGAATAAAAATATTTCCATTTAAAACGAAATACAACACGCATAATGCTATTATTTTAATAATATACAGAATATATATAAATATAATAACTACCTTTATACATAATACAAATAAATATTATCGTATTACTAAGTAACTTTCGTGGAAAAAGGGGCGAATAAATTGTATTTTAATTATTATTTCGTAGTGGAAATGAAAAAACTGTAGACAATCAACTGCACGGCTCGTCATTAATAGCACCGTGGTATATGTCTTGGATTCTGTAAAAAAAAATTGTACGGGATTTAAATCTTTTCTTTTTAGTATTAATACAAATATAAAATATTAGAATCATAGCGCAGTACTATAAATTATTATTTATTACAAAACAAAAAAAAAAATTAATCAGAACAAAAGCGTTTTTGTCTGCAGATCTTTGTGATCCTCCCATTCAGTAATATAAAGGATGTAATAATAATATATACGGTTAAAAATAAAAAAAAATTGACGGAAATTACGAAATACTTTTTGGTTTAATTTTTGTCGTTTTCTATACTACGTTTGGACAAAAACACTACCAATATATTAGTATACATGACTATATTACCGAGTAGTTTACCGGACCTTCACGTTAAATCGGTGTTTGATTGGAATTATTTCTATCGTTGGCTTCGGTATACAAACTATAAAAAAATCCATCCTATATATAGGCCGTCCACGAAGATATACCCCTTGAATATTTTCGGAAAAGATAATCGAATTCTGTTTTTTTTTGTTTATATGACTCACAGGGATGCGGAATACAAATATTTAAACTTTTTATTTTATTATTTTCGGAAAATTTTAAAATAACCAATCTGTAGAGTTTTATTTTTCTGAAGATTTTTATGCATTACACATCTATATCCAATGAATAGTTTTTAAGTAACAGCCGTTATAAATTTTACTAATCCGCGTGAAAACTTATGTTTTCTAGGAAATAATCTAATCGCGTTACGAGATAACATCGGTTTTCACACGGATTAGTAAAATTTATCCGGAGTTATTCAAGGGGTATATATTCGTGGGGCAGTCTGTATACCTTCCCAATTTTCCGCCTATAATAGTAGCTCAACCGTGGTGATCGATAAGTATGTTTAACATTTTTTATACAATAATTATGATTGTATAGTTTATACCTATACACGCAAAAATTTCACGTAAAATGCAGTCTTATACATTATAATAATACTATATAGATATGTATACGTCTTTGGTTCCAGGGAAAAATGGCCTAAGTAAATTTCGAATACAGTTTTCAATATAAGCAGATTAAATTTTGAATAACGCTAAATGAGTAATAATAATAACGCTAATAAATTGACTTAATCGTTAATCGGCTGATAAGTCATAATTTTAATTGTATGGCCTGTGTGCCAAAAACAAAAGGTGCATCGTAGTAACGACTCGAGATATTTTAATGTTCAGTGCGTTAAAACAGGTACAAATATAATAGGTGAGCACACATCCGCGTGTGCCGTTTAGATAAAAAAAAGAAAAGAAATGAAAACGAAACCATAATAATTACATAAAGCAAGATTATAAAAAAAAAAAACACAAATGCCCGTAAATCGGACTTGATCTCAGGACCGAAGAATAATAAGTACCGTACGTTTTTCACTATCGATTCTCAAACGATTCTTCCTGGCAGTGGCGGCGTGAATGGGGTGAAATTGAAGCAGCTGTGCCACGAAAATAATGGTGGGCGGGTGTTGAATATTGATATTTATGATTGAGTAGATACAAGATGCTTGAGGTACAATGTGTTGTGCATGATGCTTCCAAGACACTTTATTCTTTACACTATTTAAGATTAAAATTCAAAAATCAAGAAAGTTTACATGCCTATCTTTGATTTGATAAGCGTTTTTTTTTTTTTATATATTTCGTGTTCACATATAAAAGAGGGCGGGTGGGTGATTGAAAAAATTGTACTGCATCATTGAAATATTAAGTTCACGCCACCACTACAGTGTCTGGTGCTATGTGTACGCGTGTGTAATATGTGTATGTGTGTATGTGTGTGTAAATATAGGCACCCCATATATAATATAGTGTACCTATTATACAGGACGAGGGGACGCGCACTCGGGCGGTGGCCGTGAAACGCATACTCGGCGGTCCGGCGGCGCGGCGGACAGGAATTTTCGCTATACACCGTCCCGCACAACCGCAAAAGGGGAAACGAAATGAAATTCCTCGTCCGAAACAAATTTAAACTTTCTCAGAGGACGATGACAATGTGCGTGCGTGTGCGTGCGTGTGCGTGCGTGTGCGTGCGTGTGCGTGCGTGTGTGTATGTATCTATACGCATACACACGAGTACAGCACAACGTTGTTATCGTTATTTTGATTTTTATTATTATTGTTTCGCCGGAAATGGATATTACATAATATAAATAGAGTACGCAATACCTACGTATACGAGTGTCATAAGATTATATTGCACACCGGGGGTTATTTTTTACGGTAAACAGAAAAAAAATATAAAAAAAACATAAACCGTAAAAAAGACGAACATACCTACTTCGCACCACGGGTGAACCACTGTTATAGATGAATAGTTGAAAAGGTATAGAATATAATATAATGACGAATTAAATTTGTATCTGTACGCAACTATTAACCATCATTTCTAACGAAAAACGATTCTGAGCGGAGCTCGGTCAATAGTATTGCTTTTTCAACAATGTGCGTTTTCACGACAACAACGATTGTTTAAAAAAGATTAAAAATAAATAAAACCGGATTTCAATGACAACCTTATTTTTAACATAGGTAATATTTTATAACATAAACAATCAGTTTTTCCTTGTCAACTCGAATATTAATGTGAATTTAAAAAAATTACCTCCTCAATGCACCGACTATACAGCCAAAATCCAATATAAAATGTCTCATGTCACGTTTTGATTAAGGGAAGATGTCCGTTAAAAACATAAAACATAAATCATAATAAAACCAATACATTTCTTGCTTCACTCAGAAACTAATAAGAGGTTAGGTATAATATTAATACCACGTGTAAAACAAAAATTAAATTATTAAATTATAAAACAAACAAAAAAAGCATTGTTATGTTTATTTTCTGAAACAGACAGAAACACATGAAACAGAGGGACTCTCGCTGTAAAGTTTCTTAACTCAATAAAATTATCAGGTTTGCCCTTACATAAAACTTTTGTTAAAATTAGGCATTCCGAAAACGCTATAATGCGAAATCCAGACGCACCTTGGTTACGTAATAGAACACGGATGCGCATTGCACATCATGAACGGAACATAATTAGCGCCACTATTCTGTTTGGGGACAGGAAAGGACGAGAACGTTATTGCCCCTCAGATCCCAAAAAGCTCCACAGACCAAATTTTCGTATATGTAAACAAAGTGCAAAGGTAAACATTATGGGTTCCGGAGGTGTGCGCTTGGAAAACCGTGTTGCTTCTGTGACCAGCTTAACGTTGCGTGTTCACGTGTGGCTGATTTTCAAAATCTCTAAGTACGTCCGCGTGGAAATACTTTTAAGACTGTTTAATCGTATTGTTAATGTTTTAAAATAGTTAAGTAATTTTTAATAGTAGGTAGTTAATAATTTATACATAATATTGGTATTTTATGTTTTACATTTTTTTTTGTATATTAAATTTCGTACTTTTCATACACTCCGTCGAGAAGACGCCATAAAAGTCTGCACAGACGAAGTAACTGAATTACCATTTTCAGCTATTAGAAAAATTAACAACAAAATGTATTGAAGTATATTTACTATAGATATGCCTATGTAAGAACATTTTTACGAACAATTTTTTTTTTGTTTTTAAATATAAATATCTTTGGATAAAATTCTTAAACAGTTGGGTATTTTTAATGTAACCACAACGACTGTAATATTACTATATACAACTACATTAAAAATTTTAATTTAATATTTCTGAGTGATTAAAAAAGTTTTCAACCTATCCACCTCGCCGGTTACCATGATTTTATAAATTTCTATACTGCTCAAATGTTATAACTAATAATATTATATTTCAACTTCCGTTGCTTTTCAAGAAAAAAAAACTGTTTTTCTATTTTGTATTAGTAATAATCCATATTAATACTTATTAAAGTTCGTGTCTTCTACTATAATAATTATAGGTAATAACATTTATTTTATGATATATTTATTATAAAATCAACAAAAATAAATATTATTAGAATCCACTTAAACACTGTCTTGTATCAAGTGAAAATGATTAAACCATATTAAATTTATTAATTGTATGATAACAGATAATATTTTTGCTTAGGTTATGAACGTACAATATTAGTCTGTATTTACATAAATAGACATTTTGAATAATGGAATCAATAAATGTCGATGTTGAGGATATACCTCACGTAGGCGAACATTTTGAAGACGCCGATTCTGATTCATCAGACATGTCAACTTCCGATTCGATAATTAGTTCGTTCTTAATCGGCGATCCAAAAGCGACACAGGAATGGACTGAATTTGTTAATGATATTAAGAAACAGTATTTTGTATATGGAATAAAACATGATGATGAAGAAGATGTTGAACCTGAAACGATATATGACGAAGATGTTAAAGACTGTGGCGGTGATGACACTATTTCTACACATTGCATTGATGCTATAAATGCAGCTGAACGAAATTTATCAGAAGTAAAATTATTGTGGACACATGCGTTGTGTCAATACACATTTAACAAGTAAGTGTTACTAATTATCTACATATATAATAATATAGTATTTCTTAAATAAAAAAACTAAATAAAAACCTGTATAGTTGATTATAATTTTGTCTCCGAAATGTATAGGACTACCGCAACAGAATCATATACTACAACGACAAGTATTGAAAAAGTTATACTTTTATACGCCAAAAATTTCATTGAGCAATTTAAGATGAAATATCCGAATAGGAAACAGCTCACTTTAATACTTAGAAATGAATGTGGTATACAGGTTTGAATGGTTAATAGTATATATTTAGAGACAGTACCTAGGTACATTGTATAATACGATTGATACATACACTTACAGAAGTACCACACAAATTCAAAAATCTATTTGTATACTACAAACTAATAAGTTTTTAAACGAATCCAAGTTTATATTATAATAATTATAAATGAGATTATTTTTATATTTAAATTTTCAAGGGTGACAGTAAATTAAAGAATAGGCGTATGATTGATTGTAGAAAATATTATTATAGATATCAACATTAGTTATGATATACCTATTTGGTTTATTATGCAAATCCCATTGTTCATAATTTTTAAAATGATATTAAATAAATTTTAGAAATGTATCTGCACTATGATCAAACCATCGCGATTAGTTTATTGTGAGTTGAATGATTATACCAGTTACAGTGAATTTGTTGCTAAACATATTGAGTATATAAATTTAGAAGAACCTACAACTGTGGTATGTAGTAATATATTTTATTATAAATTATTTTTTCATTGTAAAATGTATTTTAACTAAAAAATATTTTGATGTTGAACATACAAGTGACCTATTTGTCATACGCCAGCGATTTTAAGTGAATTCTTCCCTACTAACCCAGTTTAAACTATAAACTGTTAATAAATAGTAAATGGCTCATATTAATGTTATGCATATATAAATGTGTACATTTTCTGTTCGAATCTATGTTTAAAATAAAAGTTTCTATTTGAAAATCAATTAAGTTTAATATAGCAATACCCATGATTTTACAATATTTAGAAAAATTTAATTTATCCGTGTGCTCAATATATCCCCCAGAAAAATCCTAAACTAATGGCAACTACTGAAAATAAAATAAAATATGAAAAACTACATAAATTTTTAAAAATTATTTTGAATTTGTTATTTCATTTACGAACTTAATCCGTAGATAAGGAATGCCCTAGTGTACCATATACTGTATATCCATTTTTGGTATTATGTTAGGATAACAAATTGGAAATAATATTTAAATAAAGATAAAATAGTTCCATAAGAATTAAAAAAAAAACTAAACTCAAATTCACTCTATTGATAAAATCGTTGGTTTATAATAAATCTGTATGTGTAGTTAAAGCTATTTATAATAAAACGAAAATTAAAAAAATCAAATGGATATTCTTTGCATAATGTAAAGTAAACAAATGTATAATTTCCTAGCCTAACAAATTGTTTTCTCCTACGGTGACATTAGAAACGCAAACGGCTAATTGTTTTGAATTAGCAACACTTTTAGTATCGTTTTTATTGGGTTGTCAATACAATGCTTTTGTCGTTCAAGGTTATGCCTCTGAATATGTGTCTAAGAATGATCTAAGAAAAGTCAAGTTAGATATTCCAACAAATGTATGTATATTATTAAAACGTTTTATTATAATTTGTATTTTGTTAATATTGTATTATAATAAGTATATTTATACGACGAACAACAGTATAAATTCAAAAATAATGAAGACAACAGTTTAGATGACACTTATGTTGTAGAACCACCTGTTTTTGAATTAAGCAGTAAATTTGCAACCTATTTAATTGACGAAAGTAACAAAACTGTTCAAAATGAAGTAAAAGAGGTAGTAAACTAGGTATTTATAGTTCACAGTTTTGTATTTGTTTTAATTAGTACAACATTTGATTATTTTAGGAAGTTTTGAGTGATCTGTCAGATCCTCTGTATGGAAAACGAGTACATTGCTGGGTCATCGTCATGCCATTGGAATTAAAAGATGAAGATATGATTAAAAATTCATATTTTATCGAACCGAGTACAGGTGAACGGGAAGATATTTCTAATAAAAATTACATTGGAATAGAATCAATTTGGAATCATACAAATTATTGGGTTAATTTACAACCCTTGAATGGAGGTTGTATGGTGTGTAGCCCATATTGTCCGAGATATTATATATATATATATATATGTATGTGTGTGTAATACTAAATTTAAAATGCACTTTATAGCAGTACAATTTTAATCTGATGAATACAAGTTATTGGTTAAATTTTTTACAAAACAAACCTACAAGTGTACCAAAGTTAATTAGTAATGATGACAAAGTGCCAAGAAATATCATTATGCCCAATTCGTGGGTCAATATGTTACAAGTTCCTAGAGATAGTATGACGTGTTTAATCATTAAAAAATGTAAATTACCCATTCTCGTTTTTAAAATGTATTTTCAGAATATCTTATGTTATATCCAAATGGTAAAAAAATTGTGCTATATATGAATGCAATCAAAGAGTATTTTGCTGGGTTCATTAGACCTGATGGATTGATAGAAAAAACAACATATTATACCAAATCAGATTATATGAAGAAATTATTTGTTAATAAAATATACAAACACAGAACAGACAATTTGATCGCTATTGAGAAAAATTATACCAGCAAAGGGATTGAAACCATTGAGTATTTTGAAAGTGGCCGAAAAGATTGTTTAAAAGGTACTGAAATCTAAAAATATGGAAAATAATTTTAAATTTATATTTAAATTTTTTTTTTATAGTGCATAAGTTTTGTGGTGAAAGTAGTGATATAGAAACTAAACGCCTGATTACATTTTATAACGTAAGACTTGACTCAATAGTCTCATTGAAAATTGATGAAAATTATTTTATAGCTTTATTCAAAGATAGGTGAGTATTATAGGTAGGCATTATTTAATATCGTATCTATATTTACAACGAAATAAATTTGAAACCGTACAGTTTTGTAAAATCATTAATACATATATTTGTTCACTTATTAAAATGTCTAAAATAGCCAATTTGTAAAATATATTAATCTAAAAACTTAAATATATCATACATGCATATCCGGTCAAATGTTTCTAAGTAATAGCCGCTATAATATCTAAATAAATGTGTGAAAAACGAAGCTACTATGTTACGCAATAGTGAATCATAGTCATACACAAGATAAGAAACGTTGAAATTAAAACGTCTATTATTATGAAACTGTTGATCGGATATGATTGTATGACACACTCAAATTTTTAGAATAATATATTTTAAAAAATGACTATTTTGAAAATTTTAAAAAATGAAAATAACAACTTAATTTTTCTCTGCATTTTTATCGTCCTGACACAAAATCCGATTGAAAAAAAAATATAATATTGAAATTAGCATTCAGATAACACTGTAGGACACTGCATAAATTTGTGTAATGTTCATTATTTTAGATCAGATTTATTATTCTGGCGTATGTGTGAATTTTATTATTCAGACGACAGTCGAACCTTCAATGTGAAAAGGAAACCTATGGTAAGTTTAAATTATTTTTAATAGATACTACAACTTATAGTACCTATCTCATACCTGTATTATTTCGAAAAAATTAACTTTAGATTTTTATATCATTTGACTGGAATAAGCACCTGTCACCTCAAACTTTTTACACAAAACATAATTTAATAAAATCTATGTTAAATAAAAATAAATTTTACTTATTAGATTTGTTTATAAAATATTAAACTGGTTAATGTTCAAAAATGTATAAAATCTTTTACTGTAAATTTTTTACCGTAATATGTGAAGTAAAATATTACATAATTATTAAATTAAAATTACTAATCTGAATTAATATTTAGTTAAACTATATTGCCGATATTTAAATTATGTACCATTCAATATGTTGGTGTTATTTTATATTAATTTATCAATAAATTATGTTGCAGAGAATAAAAGAAAAATACTTAAGAGATGAATCAAAACATAAAGATCATGACATTGCTACCCGAAATTTTGATTTGATTGTAAACGAAATTTATGTTATATATCAATATGGTGAAGGACAGATAACTCAATCAAGTAGATTATTTAATAAACCCTCAAGAACAAGTAGCGATCAGTTCGATCCAACATCAGTCATCGAAGATCTTGTTTGGCCATATGAAAAATTTATGAAACCCCATGAAAAATATCTCCAGTTACAAGATTTGATAAAAGCCGAGAATGATGCAATTCATGACATTTCAACATTAGAAGATGACGTTATAAAAATACTGGAAGTTCGTGATCATGAAAGATTAGAGTTAAAGTTAAAAATTGATTTGTTAGACTGGGACCAAAATCATAAGATGAGACAATTAATTCAAAATAAAGTATGTACCTAATTATATTGTTATAGTTGTATACAAGGAAACTACAAAATAAAATTGTATAGAAAGATAAAAGATTACGTTTGGCCAAACGAGGTAAAGCAAAACAAATAGATTACGTTTCACCGTACTTCGAAACCAATAAACCACCGTACACATATAGTGAGTCTTTACATGTGCGTAACAAAGTTCTAAGAGATTATAGACAAAACGCAAAAAATCAGTTTCTACGAACTAAAAAATTGTTTAAACAAGTACACTCTAATACCCAATAAAATTACTTTTAAACGATTGATTATTTTATTATTATTTCTCTTAGAAACAATTCGTATTACAGTCTATGATAAAAGAACTGAACAAAAATGAATTTAAAGATTCTGAAACCAAAAAAAAATTATTGACTTCGTGTTCAATACATAATGTCGAACTAACCAAATTGATGTTGAAAATGAAAAGACTCAAAGCAGATTACGCTAATAGATACAATGATTTGGCATTATCTTTAAATAAGAATATGATTTTTTCAATGTTAAAACCTTTAAAATTATTTGATTTATAGTTATATATTAGTGAATTCAAATTAAAACGTAAAATAAAAAGATTGAATCGTGTAATTTGTTTAAAGTTTATTATTTACATACTTTCTAAAAGGATTAAGAATATAAGTACCTATAGTATAAATTCAAAATTATACACAAATGGTACATGCGTATCTATGGTAAATTTGAACAATTGCTACCTCGTAAATAAGCTTAGGTAAGTACACTACTAAGCTCCTACTTTAATCGTTTTAAATGTTTGTGATTTTTTTTATTGTTCAATTCAATTTAGCTTTAGTCAAATTATGAGTAGTGCATTGGATATATGTTTTAAATTTTAATACAATAATAATGGTAACTGATGAGTTTTGACTATCGATCAAAGAAAATGTAACACACACATTGAAACTTGATTTATGTTTAAAAATGATGTACGTGATTTGTAGTATAACGACATACTATAGGTGTAATTTATTATTAAATTTTCCTACGTTTGACTCTCACTCGTTTTTTTTTTTTTCTTTTGATAGGTTGGTATGCCTAACCCCTACCTTACATAGGTTTAATATAAACACATGATTTAATTTTTCTGACTAAAAAATAGACTAAAAAAAAAAATTCAAAACTTAAAAATAGAAGAGGTATAAATAATTGATTTATACAAAAAATAGTCAATACATCTCCCAAATCTCCATCCTAAAAATATTACAATGACGGTAATATTATAGAAAATAATAAGATCATATATATATTCGAAAAACATTGATTGTTCAGCCCCGGATTTTAATAAACTACAAAATATATAAATTGATTTTAATTTTTTTTCCGAATTCAAGCCTATGTTTTTTATTTGAATAATAATGCAACTTGAATAGAATTTAATGGTAAAATTATATTTTATTACCTATTGGCTTACTGCAGTTTTACTTTTATACATATCTTAGTTGATGATAGTTGATGGCAATAGGCTCGGTCAAAAAAAATGTTATAAACAGTTTTTGTTTTAACCAAATGATTTCATGTTAGCGTTCGTTTACGACAATGCGCTGTCAATTTGCCAAACGTAATATTATCTAAATATATTTTAAATTTGTTATAAATGAAAAATAATAATAAAATAAATCTATCCTATCAACATTGTTGTATAACTATCTAATCTCTTTTCCGAGTAGGTTTTTACATGTTAGGTGTCGAAACAAATATTGTATCTACAACGACATTCTAAGCAAGGTGTGTTAGAGTGATTGAGAAATGATATGCACAAAAACGATAATATCGGAACAGGATAACACTAATATAATTATACAAATAAAACGTTTAATGTGTTATGAGCTTTATAAGTTTTCAGCGTTCGAAAAACTTTTCCAAAGATTCTCTCCCGCCGCCGCAGCCGTCTCGGTTAAAAATGCCGTTGAAAATCCAAATAAATTATGCAAAATATCGACCGATTATGAACAAATGACTAACTAAACTGTGCAGGCGGTATTGGCACACCCGACATCCAAAAAGGGGGACTATTGTATCGCGCGAGTGCCGGTAGTTTGTTTGAAAACAATATTTGTATCCTCAACAGTCAACAGTTTGTTTAAACAATTTAAAAAACAAAAGTTTTGTTAAAAATACGTTTCAAATGTATTTAGAGTACGTTTTCGAACGCTTGAATAATATTATATCCGATGTAGGTGTGTAACTTGTATAGTGTACATTTTTATTGAATTTGAACAACAATAATATTATTATTGTTGTATCCATTGTCGTGATATTATACCTCAATAACATATAATGCACAAGTATTATTGTATAATATAATGTAGTGCAGGTAGTAATGGACTGGTTGATAGACTTGTGTTTATTGCTCATTGTAGTACCTATACCTACCTAGTACAATATATTATTATACGAATTCGAGCACCCGACAAAAGGTGTATTTACCATATAATTTTCGTTTGCCCGATCGAATCGACTTGTTTGCCGCGTTTAATCCGCCGCTGTTGTGTTTATTGCCCCGATATGTTTATAGACAATAGCTGATAACCACTTTAAGCCGATCTTCGCGATAACAATAATGCCCACAATATTGTGATATTATAATAAGGCCGGTGAGGAATTAGGAGTTCGACTCGCCTCTCTCTCCCCCACCCATTCCAGAAATTTGAAAAAACTTATCATAACACACCACAGTTCTGTACAGTTCACAATCAAAAATTTTTTTTTTCTCACCTGGACCCCTTCCCCCTTTCCCATCTGAAATTTCTTTTGTATACCAATACGGGGCCTAGTAGGCGCGAAATTTTGTATATATATATATACACACGTAAATTACATGGGAAATCCTAAAACACGAAACCCCTGCAACGGGCATTTTAAAACGTGACGCAGCGGCACGCAGATCGCATTGTGCGGGGTCCAGCTGCAGCTGCTGCTGTGCAACGTCCGTTTGTTATAGGAGGTACGACGACGACCGCCACGGGGTGGAAACGCGTATATCAATAATTTATAAAATTTCAAGCGAACCGATATTTTACGATTGCAGTGACGTTTAATATAATGTAATATATTATAATATAATATTGTAACACACGATATTATTAATATCACCTGTATTATAGTATACAAGAAGATTTCGAAAACGCGACAAAATATACATTATCCTTTTTCTGTAAAAGTCTACGTGTGCAAACCGTGACGAAAAACAATCGATTGTTTAAGAAAACCCGACTATTTACAATGAAACCTCTAAACACCAGACGCTCTCCGTCGCTGGAATTTCGTCCGCTATATTTAGAGGGAAAAATTGTATTTTTATTAAATTAATTAATCAAATACATTTTATTTGTACATTAGTTAAATACATCTTAAAATTACGACATTTCATCGACGCGATAATATTTCACGTGTACAGTATAATAATGTACATAGAATATAATTATAAAAAATAATTTAATAGTGTAGACTTTTATTTAGGTATTCTACTGCAATTATTCTTAATTTACGATAAAAATTATCAATATCAGTGTTAAACTAGAGCTAAGCTAAACAGTGTTCATTATTTAGAGGTGGTTTATCCATTTCCCCGCCGGTTTTATCGGAACCCGACGCTGTTTTTAAACGATTACGGGTTTTCGCTTGGATCCCGAGAGCGGATTAGGATACCGCAGCCACTTTCGCGGGCTACAGACTCCTACAAAAATTATCTTTTTACCTGTATTTAAAACACAGTGTAAGACTTCGTAGATACTTGCGAATGTAACATAATAAAATGTAGTAAACATATTAGTAAAAGGCATCGTATCGGAAATTCTCGAACATTTCGATAACGTCTACGTTATTTCCGTAAATTGGAAATACAACAGTCTCTACCTCTCTTATTTGTGTAGTATACGACTGATTTTTACAACTTTACAACTGTCTTGTGTAGGAGTTTTCGGCAGAGGTTAACGCTATGCCAATGTAGGAGATTACCTACTTAGGAGTTTACCATCCCCCGCAGTGACAAGGCGCGGGGCGACAGGTATATGCTTTTGTTATTATCGGGGCCGTGTCTAGGGATGAGGTGTGAGAAGTGACCCGGCAACCGGTTGAAGGGGGGGGGGGAGGCGATAACTGCGGGAGCGGAATCGTTAAAGTTTTTCCGCGATTAAACGGTGATTTTTTTTTTTTTCAGAGTGAACGTCCGTCGGACGGCCTTTTGTTTTCTGCGTAACGTCCGGATATGCGTGTTTTTCCGGCACCGGGTTACCGATTTCGGTGATTATCGCGCCAGCTCCCCGTATCCGCGAGTACACTGTGTTCCGTCCGTTCGCACCGAGACGAGCTCGGCAAACGACCGAGGCCGTTTCGGGGAACGCGCGGCCACGCGCGTTTGATGTGCAGCGCAGTAGGCCACCTATAAATAATATTATGCACGGCGTCGCGGGATATTAGTCGCGGTCGGCCGCGTCGACTCGCCGCGCGGAGGAGACGCGGAACACGGATAAAAGGCGATTTCGTCGCCGCGTCCCGTCGGGCCGGGGCAGCGCAGAAATCCCCGGTGCGACGGCGACGGCGGCCCTTCTACAGGTCACCGCCGTTGAGTCTACGTCGTCGTCGTCGTCGTCGTCGCCGCCGCCGCCGCGTTCTCTTCCCGTTTGTATTAATAATTTATTTGTCCGCGGGTGTAGGTACGTTCCGACGAGTGACGGTCGCGGCCCCCCCGCGGACCGAGAATCACGCGCACTCACACAGAGGCGGAGTTGACGGTCCCCGGGCATTACGCGTACGACGCGTACACCACCCCCCCCGCCCCCCGCGACCGCTCTCGTATATTATACGCGCGCGCGCACACACGCACACACATATCGTATACGGCGTTTTGCAGCTGCCGCCTAGTAGCGCACGCACGCGCGTAACGCGTTCACGACGGGTGGGTACCTATATGTTTATATATAATATCGCATTATTATTATACACGGCGAGTCGGATGACGGGGGCAAGGTGAAATAATAATAACAATAATAATACGCGCCGTTTGTGCGTGTATGTGTGTAGAGGTATATACGCGTCGTAAATATATAATAGTATACAGATGTGTGTGTGTGTGTGTGTGTGTGTGCGCGCGCGTAAAATATAGGGAGCGCGCGATCGAGGGGGGAAACTCCGGCGGCGGCGGCGACGCAGAGATTTCGACACACACCTGTGAAACTCGCGCGCGCACCCCATTTTTATAGGTTAGGTACCGGGTAACGTTCGCGATACGCGCGCGTATGACGTACGCGTCCCGTACCGCGGGGTGGTCGCGCGGTCTGTCTCGGCGCGCGGAGGGGGAATTCCGAACGCACACGCGGCGGCGGTGACCAGAAGCGTCCGCGTGTCTGAGGCGACGGCTGACGTGCCGGCCTCGTACCCCGCCACACGTACACGCTTTATTATAATACCTGCGCGGCGCGTGTGTGCGTGTGCGTGTGTGCGCGCCGTTGTTCGGTTTTTTTTTCTTTCTTCCCCCCCGCGGAAAAGGGACCAGCTGCTCGCGCCGAACATATTC